TTCATGAAAACACTCAAATTATGAAATGAAAAATCGAGTGAAAAATATACAAAAAGCCATAGTGATCCAGCTCCTGCAGCAGTATTTCGTGATTCACACAGTCAAGGGCTTTTGAGAAATCACAAAACACTGCCAAAACCGAATCGCCCTCGTTAATATTGAGATAGACTTCCTGCAATAGAGCGAATATAACGTCATACATGCCTTTTTTTTGTTGGAATCCAAACTGAGATTGTGCGATGATGTTAAACTTTTCAAAGTGAGAGGTAATTCTTGTTTTAGCAAGTTTCTCAATAACTTTGGAAAGAGAAGATAATAATGATATAGGGCGAAAGTTTGATGGGTCCTTCAAGTCGCCACCTTTGTGAATTGGTAGAACAAGAGCCTGTTTCAAACAATCTGGAAAATAGCCAATGATGAAGGACTGATTGATGAGTTCCACAAGAACTGACAGAGTAGCATCTGGAAGGTGCCGCCTTGGTGGACAAACCATCAATGCCTGAGCTAGTTTTGTTTTTTACTTGGTTCTTTACCATGTTTAGCACTGGCTTTACCTAATGTTAGAACTTCAGGAATATTTATATGCTCCAAGAAGGAAATAGGATGTCAAAATTGTCAAACTTTTATTCAATGTAATGCCAGACAATTAATTTAAGATCTTAAAAAAATAAAATGTTTCATGTAATAAAAATTGATTTTTTATTTTATTGATTTTATACTTTTCATTTATTTGCTGAAATGTAATACCTACTTAATTGTTATTTCATGCAAGTTCCCCCTATTCCTTGAAAATTAGAAGAAAAAAAAAATCTAATTATTTCACAATAATTTGTTTATCTGCCTTATCAGAGGAACCTACTAATTAGAGGGGTAGATCAAGGCTCTTTTATTGTTTTCCAATATTCTAGCATAATTTACCTAAGCCAATTGGCAAAATTTTGGTAGAATAACCCTGGAGAAATGTACTTTCTATCTATTCCAAACTATTTAATCATTTAATAGAAGATACATCATTTTCCATTTTAAAATACATAATTGTCGCCAGTTGTAGGCAACGAGGAGCTCACTTCACAGATATTAAATTCAATGGGCTTTCGAATATCAACACAGCCAGTGTTTTGGACTTGATTGTATCATATCAAGTAAGTCCAAAACATTTAATAGATGAGTCGGCCCAAGAAAAAGAAGCTTAAGGTAAGGGGTTTTTCACCTTGTTAATCAGTGTACAAATCACTGGTTAATAGGTTTGTTCGGACTTAGTTCAGAATCAGTTCTGAATTGACATAAATGAACAAATGCACAAGCGCAGTTCAATTTAGTACTGATTTTCAACTAATTCCGAACAAACCTAATATATGTCAATACCAGGTAAATAGTGTCAATATTATGCAATACCTATTTGTTAATTATGTAGGTAATATACAGTGTGTCTCGCTTAAGGACTGACCACCCTTCTAAAATTTTTATTTTTTAACCGATTCAATTCATTTTTTTTTTGTATTATATCTACTCTAATTCAGCACTTATTTGGCTCATAATTTTATTTCTGCGGCAGTACTGGTGTACAGGGTGTCCACATTTATAGGCTCAAATTTCAATACGTACTTATATGGATTTTTTTAGAAAAAATCTGATGGCAGATTCAAATTTAATGGACCAAACCGGAAAAATGTCATATTTTGAGGCCTTGAGAACAACAAAACTTGAACCAACATATAGTCCCCAGTACATCGACCTTAAAATTTTGTAACTCATGTACACGCCCAACTTCCGGAGCGGCTTCATAACACCAAGTCGGACAATATTTTTTATGTCTCCACCCTGGGCGATGGGACATTGCTGCGCTAGCTCTTCGTGAAGTTGTGTTCTCTATGAACAGCAATTACATAGCAACCAGCAACCGGTCGCTAGTTGCTTTTTTTAAATGGAAAACTCTCGTCAAATAGCGATTTGACAGTGACAATTGCGCAATTCTCTCGGTTGCAAGTTACAGAATAAGGCTGCGGGTCTTCAAAAAAAAAACAATCAAAGATTGCTTTGATTACGAAAACGTATGTCGCATTACTGTTTCTTTATTGGTCAGGATTTTTGACATGTCATTTTGACATTAAAATTCATTGATAAATTAAAGAAAAACATTGCTAAGACATACGTTTGAAAAACCATGGCAATCTTTAATTGTTTTTTTTTTTTGAAGACCCGATACCTATGAATATGTCAATATCTAGAATTCTGGCAAGACAAATATTTGATTTTAGTCTGTCATCGGTGTACAAATTTTGTTACGTGAAAAACCCCTCTGCTTAAGAGATCCGCATCATTTTCCATTTTAAAATACAATATTGGGTGGTATGAATAAAAACAAAGTACTTGCTACTACTACAAGTATTAGTATATGCTACGGAGTATTTATTTATTTATTTATTAATACAGTATCAACAGTAAACTAGTAAACAATAATTATTTGAAATTTAAAATTTACATTGTGACAATCATGAACACTTCACATTAAATATATGAGGCTTCCTCGGAGCTCTAACAAGCAAAAACCCTTTCAAAAAACAAGATTATAATGGGGACTATACTATACAGGGTGTCACGAAAGGCCCGCCACAAACCTCCAAAAGAAGCATTTACTTTAGGGATAACAAACTATCGATAGGGATATCGATACTATCGATAGTTTTTCAATTTTCGATAGTATCGATAGACCTGTACCAATATCGATAGTTCCAATGTAGCCAAAGGTAAATGAAAACATCTGTATATTGAGGGAATTATAAAGAAATCTGTAGTTTTTTTGAGAAATCTGTAATTATTTTTGGGGATAGACATGCTGTGCTGCCAATTTTTCGGTTAGGAGGAATTAGGCAATTCAATCCATCTGTCAAAAAGGAAAATTCAATGTGGCGTGGCGGCCAAGCAAGTTTGTTTTGAATATGTTTTTATGCGTATTTTAAATTATTTTGCATAGAAATTTGCTTACAACTATGATTTTCATTATTTAATGAAATATTTGTTAACTAGGTACTTAAACTATTAATTCGGACAGAAACTAGATAATTTTTTGGGAGTGAATCCTACGCCTACCGGTAGGTCCTTTTTTATCCACCGATTGTGCGCCTACTGGTAGGGTAGGTCCTTTTTCGTCAATTGATCAAGCGCCTACTGGAAGGTGTTTTATTACTTTAGAATCCGTATATCCTATATCCTACCAGTCAGCTCTTGCTAATGCTAAATACGTTGGTAAAATATTGTTTGTTAGTAATAGTATAGTCATTAAGAAATTCGTCCACATAAGCCTTTATTAGTATCTTAACATTTTTCCAATTTGGGCTTTAAACTTGTTGATGTTTCGAATCTGCTTCATTCGCTAGACGGCAACCTATATTCTATATTGAAAATCTTTCTGCACACACCTTGAGTTTGTTTTTGAGTCTTCGATGGCTCACTACTCTCGCCAAACCTCAAAGAGAGGATCCTTGGGAGCGCAAATCCACCAAAAACGTGAAAAACCTTTATTAAATATAACATCTTGAAATTTTAATCATTTTTAAGTCTCTGATTGCTCCCTCCGCTCGCCAAACTTCAAAGATAAGATCCTCGGAAGCATAAATCCACCAAAAACTTGGAAAATAATTTTCAAATAGGGTCAAATATTGATTGGCTTAGATCTATTCGCCAACATGAACTTTAAACATTTTTAAGTATGTTAACAGTAACAACAGTGTTAATAACTCAAGAATGAACATTTTGTGGATTACGGCCATTCACAACTAGGGCGACGAGTGTCACCTTCTTGTAAATGCAGGTATAGTTAGGTTAGATAGGGGTAGGCGACGGATTCTTGAATTAATATGAACCTACCGGTAGGCTCAGGATTCTTTCAACAAAGAGTACCTACCGATAGGCGTTATATCATGTGCCAATTGGGGACCTACCATAATGTTTTCGCGGTATACATAAACGGTAGGCACACAATCAATGAAACAAACAGCACCTACCGGTAGGCGCAGAATTCACTCCCTACTTTTTTTGTGTTTTTTGGCCCATGTATGGCCGCCACGCCATCTTGAATGTCACGTGGTTTGAATTGCCTAATGACGAGTGACTTTGATGGACTAATGGAGGTTGGAGGTTAATGTTTATCGTAATTAATTACAAATTTGGTTACTTTGGTCAGAGCAAACTATCGATAGTTACTATCGATGGGTAGGCCATTCTATCGATATCACTATCGATAGTTTTTTTTTCGATAGTTTGTCAACCCTAATTTACTTATTTTTGCTGGTTTCGAAATGTAGTATCTACTTCGTTTTCAAGTAAATACTACGGAGAATCTACTAATACTTGTAGTAGTAGCAGATACTTCGTTTTTATTCATACCACCCATTGTCGCCAGTTGTAGGCAACGAGGAGCTCACTTCACAGATATCAAATTGAATGGGCTTTCGAATAACAACACAGCCAGTGTTTTGGACTTAATTGTATCAAGTCCGAAACATTTAATAGACAAGTCGGCCCACAAAAAAGTAGCTTAAGGGGCCCTCCCTCTTAAAACCATTTCACTTTCTAGTTCCACATGTCATAGAACTCTAGACAAATAATATTTGATCAAATTTTGTTATATTTACTTTCAAATACCCTCTAGAGAACACAATGCCCACTCACTAAAAATACATATACCTTTTTTTTCCAAGATACGCGAGGTGATGAATAAGTAGAATACCTAAATAGTCTCATGATCATGATGCTAAGCCCAATTTATACTAGAATCCATGTAAAAGGCTTATAAAAGGAAAGAGAAGCCTACATTTATGAGTCTACAAAATATAAATATTGATACACTATACACTGCATTTATAAGAATATCAATACATATTTAATAGGCAAATTCAATAGAAAAATTAGTATTTATTTTGAGATGAGGGTAGAAGCATGAGGTTATGTTTACACTGAAAGGGAAATTACTACTATTTTATTAAAATAAGGTTGCTTACCGGTTTCCAAATTTTGTTAGGGTAAAATATTCATCCTCATCAATAATAAAAATAGCTATTTGGTTTTAAAACGCATTTCTTAAATCAACGTTTGAGAAACGAAACGAGACAACATCAAAAAAATACCGCTTGTAGGAAAACCGTCATCCGCCATATTGGAATTGAGAGAGGAGACGCGAAAGCAAAACGTCAATTAGACTAGAGATGGGTAGAATTATCGATAATAACAATATCGATAGCTTCGCTCACATTGTGTATTCCGAGCAGTCACTGTATTCCGAACTGATTCAAAAATAATTATCCGCATGTGCAGTGCAGTTCATACGACATTCCTAAAAAATAGTTCTGTTCTAGGGATTCAAGAGCAAAGTTCCAAGTATAGCTTCATTCTCAGTTGCGCGAAATTCGCTCTTTTTCTGACATTGTTCCGACAATTTGACGTTTTATGCGTCTATCAAACAACACATAAATAACAGCGAATTTCGTGCAACTGGATGGCGATTTTCATTTGTCAGTCAGTACGCACTGAGTGTATCCGCATCTTTTTCTAAAAACATGTAACATGTAAGGATAAGGATACATTTTTTTTGCACTGGTTCGACAAATGGATATCGCTGTGAGAATGAAGTTTTGGCTGAGTTCGGCTTTACACTCTGTAAACTCTGAGCGCGTTCGAAACGATAAGATCCTAGCCGGGGCCCCCCCTGAAATTGAGCTGGCTCCCCCTGAAAACTTGCCCTCGCCCCTCATGTCGATAACAATGCAATGCAACTTGAGTAACCTCTGCTCTGCTCTCTGGTTAATTTGATATTTGGTGGGCGCCAGGCAACCGCGACTATGCTTTCGCTTTTCTGGGATTCCCCCAAACATATTTATTGTGTCGGCAGGTACAGGGTTTTCCTGTGTATTTTTGGCACCTCACCTGAAGGCCGGTTTCTCAATAGCAAGCAAGTCACCCGGTTAGAGCAGTTAACCATAATTCCAGGGTAAACATTGCAATTGGACACGTTTACCCTGGACTAACTATCGAGAAACCGACCCTGAACTGTTAATTGAATAGGTATCAAGAAGATTTACCTATATAGGGTGTCCGTTTTTGGAGAGCAATCATTGAAATATAGGAAACGGTAAGAGATACAGGTTCGGTTAAATTGAGACAAAGTTGCGCAATTTCTTGTTTAACAAAATGCTATACTTCGAAATTTGGAAAATTCCGAATACTTCCGGAGATACATGGAAATCAAAATTTTGTAAAATCATTTCTATATTTTCCTGGACTCATTTGTAAAGGTATTTCAAATAAACTTCACTTTATTGGGGCAACTTTCTCCCCTCTACATAATGGTGTAACCAAATTTGAAATCCGACGTTTCGTCTTTTGCCGATCATCATCAACTTTATTTTTTTAAATATCTAGAGGTTTGCATTTTTATGAACTGTATTCGGAGTTTCTTGATCTCCCAAAAGCAGTAACACATTTGGCCATTGATTCCGATTTTGTATCTCTTACCGTTTCCTATATCCCAATGATTGTCCTCGAAAAACGGACACCCTGTATACAAAATCCAAATAAAAACCTTTTTGATACATTCAATTAAGCTGTTCAGGTGAAGTGCAAAAATATACGGGTAAACTTTGCAATTCCAATTTTTTATTTCAAAGAAGAAGAGCCATAAAGTTAGAACAAGTGCCCCCCCTAATTTTTTCTGGCCCAACCTGGCCCCCCCTAACGTAAAACCCTGGCGTCGCCACTGACTCGAATGGTTTCAAAAATCGCACCCCAGAGCATTTTCTAACCTAAGTTAGCGTTTTCGATTTGAATTTGTTGATCAGTGTGCGTGCACTGAGTGCATTCTAATCTTTTTCTTAAAGCATGTAAAACATAAAGATAAAAATACATTTTTTTGCACTGATTCTGCAAATAGAAAACCCTATCAGTTATTTTCTTCAAGTTAATCAGAAAGTAGTTTGATCTCAAGCAGCTTCTGTTCGTTTTAGCTCTCAGAGTTTTCTCTTTTGCGTTCGGCTAATAACCGCGTATGACGTCACGATATCCATCCCCATATCGTTCTGCTCCGTGGAGTGCAAAGCCGAACTCAGCCTGTGTGTTTTATGTACTCTACTATATTCCTGAATGTTCCAAATTAATTTGGAATGCGATTTGCGAACAAAGCTATTGTCGGTCGATAAAAATATGCATAAAGCTCACCACAAGTGCAAGTGACAAAATCTCATCCCAGGCAGGGCACAACTGATGAGTAGCGATTTGTAGTTTTCTTCATTGTGGAAGGGAGTTAAAGCTGGGCTGGAATTGGGCTGGATATTCTAATTTATATTTTTCTTCCTATCTGCTTATGTTCACAGTTATCGATAATCGAACGTACCTTTTCGAAAGTGTAACATCTCTACGTCAACCACATTTGAGGACGTAAACACAACAGTGACAGCGCAGCGTTCCATTTTTTCATCAATTTTCAAGTCTCTAGTTTTACTGGTTTTTCGTTATAGAATGAATAAACCAATTTATAATGGCACGTTTTAATTATAGATAAAATCTGATGGAAGTGAAAAAGTGCTTTGGCTTTAAGTTCTACTACACATTCCTAGAGAAATCGTATTCGTAAAAAATTGAGCACGCCCCTGTCCTTTCCACCGACAGTTATCCGATTGTCATTCGAACGAAATCGAACTGTCAAAAAACGCTTGTTTGGGGCTTGTGGTGTTGTGTCGCAAATTATAATGGGCAATTTTTCGGAAAATCGAGTGAAAAATAAAACATTTTCTTGAAAAAGACTGAAAATCAGTCTCAAAATAATGGTGTGACGGACGACGAGCGAAATTTCCTGAGTTTGAATGTATTGATTCAGGTCCAGGTTATGTTTCCAACTTTCATAAGCATACTAGGTGTGTTGTTTGTGTTTGTTTATTATTTAATTATTTTTTTACTTTACCTTCCATTTCAATTTGTTTAGTGTCCGCGTTTTAGTGCGCAAATAATTATGTACCTCCAGGAGAATTCCCCCAATCGTTGCCTTATATACCACATTTCATCTCCTAGAAGTAGAGTTGAAAGTACAAAAGATTTTCTTAATAAATCTGCTTTTTCTTCTGTTCAACATTATTTATGTATTTAGGTATCTCGATTTGTATTTATATTTTTATTTAAATATACCTACACAAGTACATTCCCTAAAACGTTTTAAATAATTGTTGAAGTCTTCTTTGTAATAGTAATAATTATCAGATCAATGATGGTAAGTGATTTATTAGAAAATATATACCCCTACCCTACCTTTAATAATATAATAATAAATTGATGCATAAAATAATAATAATTTTGTAAGTGTAACTAGGTATGCTATGCATATCAATTAAAGAAATTATAATTATCACAAGTTGGGCTTGTGCAGCAATTTCATAATTTTTGAAATGGTCAATGCAAAGTAGTCTTGGTCACAAAAAAAAAAAACCTATAAAGGGTGATTTATGTAGACCAGATGGTTCACACCCACACTTACATCAATTTGTACACCAATTACCCTTTTTTGGTTAGATACAATGTTAAAAAGCATAACAAATAGATAATAGATTTATTTTTAATAGTATTTAATATTTATTAATTAGTTCTGTTCTGACATTGTTCAAGAAAATAGGATGAAGTTTAAAAGCGCATTGATAATAATTTCAGAAGAGGTACAAAATCTCTTCAAAAATGACCCTGAGTGCAAAGGAACTTCAAGTTACTTCAAGTTAATGCGAGGTAATAGGTATGTATCATGGCTTCAGATATGGAAGAAAGGCTGAATGTTGAAAAAATTGTTTACTTATTTTCAAATTTCTGAAAAAGGAATAAGATACATTCGTATAGGCTACTCAGCCTGACTATGCCGAAATGCAGATTAAATTTATTTTTTATGGTCTTGTTCAACTTTCAGAAAAAGGCCCATTTAAAATAGAAAGTGACAATATGCCCTCAATATTGTGAAACAAAATACATACCCAAGTTGTTTAAAAAATAGCTACATGCGTTTTATACTTGCTATTTCTAATAAATAAGTGCACAACGAGGTGCACAATATACCTACATGAGGTGTTTCCTCGCGTCTCAAATGTTTTAAAATCTTTTTCAAAACCGGTTTCAAACAGTGTCGCATGACGTCATAACTACTTGGCGCGAAAAAATAGTTTGAAAATGTGGATTGGATTGTATTTCGAAACGGTTTGAACCAATTTTAATGTGAAGTCACGGGCGCATTGCGGGAATATACCGTTTCAAAACTGTTTTGAACCAGTTTCAAATTAACATGAGAAAACAAATATGGTCTTCCATTTAAAAAAATATAACTTCGCTCTGCTACACTTTTTTGACTCACCCTGTATGTTCAAAACAGTCAAAACTGACTCAGTTGAAAACTTTTGACAATTAGGTACTTAAAACTTTTTTATTTGACACTTCTGTCAAAAAAGTCAAATGAAAGAGTTGAGAGCGGTTGAGATTAATAATGGATCACCCTGTATAAGGGATTCCACAGAAATCCAAGAATTGCCAAAAAAATCCAAAAAAAGCCAAGGAGTTCCAATACATGCCAAATAATTTCAAAAAATGCCAAAGAATTCCAAAAAATACCAAATAGTTCCAAAAAATTCCACAAAAATGCCTAGTTATGATTTTTCTGCTAGCCAAAGTACAAAAAATTCCACAAAAATGCCATTAATACATAATATAATTATCCTTACTGAAACCTGGTTGAATAATGGAATATACAATAATGAGTTGGGACTCAATTTCCATGTATTTTATTGGTAGTAAAAACAAATTTTAAAGCCAGTTTAATGCAAACACCATATCAAGCTCCGTTTCATGAGGAGATTTGGGTAAGAATTCTTATTAACAATTCTTTATTGATTTTCTGTGTAGTATATTCCCCCCTCAATCTAAATTGTCCGAATATGAAAATCATGCAAATAACATTGAACACTTTTCTAATTTACTAATATTGAAAGTCATACATACATTTATTCAACTTATACATAGCCCTTCCACTGAATGCTTTACTGCTGCATTATGCTTTTCTAATCTTTTTCTAGTAAACGATGTACCAAATGCTAGAAATGGGTTCTTGAACTTAATTTTTACTAATAGATGTGATTTACTAATTGAGATTGCTCAAGACACCATAGTGAGTTGTGATGATCATCATCCTGCCTTACTTCTTGATATTGATGTTAATAGTCCAAATTTTGTTCAGCATAACAATGTGGAGTTTCGATATAACTTTAAAAACTGTGATTTTAGCAATATCAATCATATCTTGTTGAATATTGATTGGGATCTCATAATTCTCATATTGGATTGTGATGTACAGGGTGCTGCAATTTGGAGTGTTTCAACAGGAAAAACATACTTCCAGACCAGATAGAGGAAAATTGACTTAGACGTCATGGGATCGATTTTTGAGAAACGTCAATTGTCAAAAACCGTAACACGATATCTTCAATGGTACCATTGATACAGGGCGATTTTCGATTTTCCCCTATTATGAAAAATAGCTATAAGTTTTTTATTTATCAATTTTTTTTATTTCTGTAAAAACATTATGGAGACACTTTTTTAAGCAGAATCCAGTGGCGAACTCATTTTTTTTCTATGTCGCTTCGATTTCGAGATATCGACCAAATTCCGATATTTTCAAATGAAATACCCTATACCGGGTGACCACGAGATTACTGACCAAGCTCTAGTTCAGGCATGAATATCAATATCGATTTCAAGTTTTGAGGATGTATATTATTGATATCGATGCAGAATTTCGCTATAAAAACAATCGACTATCGCTTCTGGTTTGACCGCAAGTGCCATCAACTTCTTTATTTCAACTAGATCACCCCCTATATTATTACATTTTTGGATTCTATGAGAAATTCTAAGCATATTTTATGTATAATATCCTATACCTAACTTTAAGAGTTTTCAAGAAAATCGCGATTGAAAATGTCGAAAAATAATTTTTATTTTAGTTTTGACAGCAAACAATGGAAAGAAGGTTGAAGCTTTTACGATATTTTTAACTCATTTTAGAAGCACTAAAGGATCCCACCACAAAAATATCAGTTCCGGTTCAATCGAAGGTTTTCGGTCGGTCTACTTTTGAGGTTATGTTACTGCAATAATTTCAATGGTATCCCATACTTAGAACTGAAAATTCGTATTCTAGGAACAATTTTGAATCTTTTTTGTATACGCTTTCCTATACCTAAAGTCTACTGTTTTTGAGATATTTTACACTTGATGTAAGGATGTCTTTGGAACAACGAATACCAAAAACAGTATTAACAGCATTAATTTTAATCCTTTTTATAAGTTTATTTAAATAGATCACACAGAATGCAGTTGTTCATTTGTTGTGTTCCTTGAATCCCGATTTGCACTGTTACCCAAAGGTCGCAAATAGTCCAAAAAGTTAGGGACGCAAACGTGAACAATACTGACGGCGGCCATGCTAACCCAAAATTATCCAACTATTGCCATTTCTTTTAACGTGAGCGTAAACGAAAATCGTGTGGTAGAAAATAATCAGCGGCCATGAATGTTCAATGTTGACAGAATGACAGGTTTTTCTAGAGGTGTATGCCATCAATATGCAAATTTTGGTCATCGATTTAAATGAAAAAGGGACAAATACCTAGAGTAGCACACCAACAATAAATTTCCAAAATTTCGGATAGTAAAATGCTGGAAAAAATTAATAGGACAGAATTTTCGAAAATTATGTTTTTATCAAAAAATTATTTTCGTTGTTCCAAAGACATCCTTACATCAAGTGTAAAATATCTCAAAAACAGTAGACTTTAGGTATAGGAAAGCGTATACAAAAAAAATTCAAAATTGTTCCTAGAATACGAATTTTCAGTTCTAAGTATGGGATACCATTGAAATTATTGCAGTAACATAACCTCAAAAGTAGACCGACCGAAAACCTTCGATTGAACCGGAACTGATATTTTTGTGGTGGGACCCTTTAGTGCTTCTAAAATGAGTCAAAAATATCGTAAAAGTTCCAACCTACTATCCATTGTTTGCTGTCAAAACTAAAATAGAAATTATTTTTTGACATTTTCAAACGCGATTTTCTTGAAAACTGTTTAAGTTAGGTATAGGATATCATACATAAAATATGCTTAGAATTTCTCATAGAATCCAAAAATGTAGTAATATAGGGGGTGATCTAGTTGAAATAAAGAAGTTGATGGCACTTGAGGTCAAACCAAAAGCGATAGTCGATTGTTTTTATAGCGAAATTCTGCATCGATATCAATAATATACATCCTCAAAACTTGAAATCGATATTGATATTCATGCCTGAACTAGAGCTTGGTCAGTAATCTCGTGGTCACCCGGTATATTAATATCTCATTGAATAGCTCTGTTTTTGCTGATTTCAATGATATAAAGCTCGATAGGTTTATCTCTAACAGTTTTCGAGAAAAAAAATTATATCTGTTTTTTGTCGTAAGAACGAATGTGTTAGAAAAGGATTTTATACGTGTAAGGAAAATGAGGAAGGTCTCTTTCTAACACATTGTTTCTTATGTCTCAAACAGATATAATTTTTTTTTCTCGAAAACTGTTAGAGATAAACCCATCGAACTTTATATCATTGAAATCAGCAAAAACAGGGCTATCCAATGAGCTATTAACATATAGGGTGTTTCATTTGAAAATATCGGATTTTGGTCGATATCTCGAAACCGAGCGATATGGAAAAAAACTGAGTTCGCCACTGGATTATGCTCAAAAAAGTATCTCCATAGGTAATGTTTTTACAGAAATAAAAAAAATTGATAAATAGAAAACTTATAGCCATTTTTCATAATAGGGGAAAATCGAAAATCGCCCTGTAATA